TATATGAAATGATTTGAAATCCTTGAAAGAACTATATAATAAAAAACAATAAGAAAAAAACAGCTGAAAATAATTATTTTCAGTTTCTTTTTCAATTCTTATTTCTTATTAGTTTTTCAGGGATTTCAAATCATTTGACACAACCGTAATGATCACTAATTTTTTCTCTATTTTTTATTTTCATTAGAATTGAAATGTATTTTCTATAACCACATTGACAGGTAAGTGTTATTAAATAAATTTTGTTTTAATTAAGTATCACACGTTAAAAGGTAAGACCTCGTTAGTCCTCAGCACGCACAAGTTTCTCAACTTCTGAGAGTTGCCGTTCGTATAGGGACGACAGCTGATTAACGGAAAAACAGCTGATTAACGGAAAAAGAGATTTAAAACAGATCAATGTATTCAATATTAGGTATTGATACACAAGTGAAATAATTATAAAATATAATGTGATAGTTGATAAGAAATAAAAATTGATGAAAATTATGTGTTTATCAATAATTGACTTCATATATACAGGGTGACTCAAAAGTACTTTGACAAACTTCAGGAGGTGATTCCTAACAATATTCTGATATGAATTGTCCAAATAAATAAATGTCCGGAAACGGTTCGTTTCCAAGATACAGGATGTTGAAGTTTTATTTTTATTTTGGTTTTTTTCAAATAACTTTTGAAATACTGAACTCAATTAAACGAAACTTGGTAATAGGAGGTTTTTGAGGTGTCGAATTCGAACCTGATGTTATTGCTCTTACTCGTAGGGGGCGTACTAGCACATTTTTCAGTAAAAAAAATCGATTCCTCTATCATATCTACGTAAATTAGCTACCCTTGTTACTAGTCGCTGTGTGCAACCGTTTTCTAAATATTTGGACTTGAAAACTTCGAGTCGATTATTTGATAATCGATACATGTTGAAGTTATTACGAATATTTTGCATTTTTCACATGAATGCTTTGGAAATAAATTTGACGTTTGTGAGTAGTTTTGATAATTACATATTTTGTGACAGTTAGACGTTTTGTTTAAGTTTCCGCGCGAAGCAAGACGTATTTACCAGGAGCGATTTCCTAATCGAGTACTGCCTTCAGATCCAACATTTGCTAGTCTCCATCGTCGTTTGGCAGAAACAGGTAGCTTCAAGAGGGCAGCTGATATTATTGGAAGACCACGAGCCAGGAAATTGGCTGGAAATCCTCAATATTTTAGATATGCACTCTTCACGGACGAGGCAAACTTCTCTCGAAATGCTATCACAAACTTTCATAACAACCATGTTTGGGCTCTCGAAAATCCGCACGCAGTTAGTGAAAGGCATTATCGATATCAATTTTCTGTAAATGTATGGAGACATTTATTTATTTGGACAATTCATATTAGAATATTGTGAGGAATCACCTCCTGAAGTTTGTCAAAGTACTTTTGAATCACCCTGTATAATGATGATCTATATAACCGCACGCTCTCTGTTCTATCTCGAAAACGATCCAACGTATATGATGTTTCAAACAAAAGAAGTGGAAACGATACATTTGCAAAAAATATGCGAAAATACAAGTTTATACGAGTCGGATTTCTTCAAACTAATACAAATGTATAAGTTTGAAAATGTTCATGCTGGACGAAACTGGAGTAACGATAGTTACAAATGGAAGTGATGAAAACAAAGAAAGTTTCATTTCTCATGATGATTTCCTACCACGTAGAAACGGATACATCAATCAATCGTCAACGTATCTCAACCTTCACCTCCATAATATGAAACCATAGGAATGCAGAACTAGACACCTTCCTGAAGCACATCAATAACGTAAGTCCTTTCATCACTTTCACAATGGAAAAGGAAGTCCACAACGAATTGCCATTCTTAGACGTATTGGTGAAGAGGACCAACACTAAATGGGAAACATACGTATACCGAAAACTATTTCGTTGTAATTTCAGTTTTTTTTGCTTAATATAATAGTTATTTTTTCAGATAATCTTTTTAAATTTTTTATAGAATCTTCCAGGGATTTCGAATCAACTTATAGCATACTAGCAATTACACGCGGCTTCGCCTGCATAGGATTTGGTTTGTCACATTGAGTTTCGTGAAACACCATTTCACACAAATAGTTACAATATTTTTTCATTAACAATTGACAAAAATATCGTTTTTAATAAAAAGTATCCTATGTTACTTCTAATACCTCCAAAAACAGGTGTACAAAATTTCGCGATGATCGGTTGTGTAGTTTTTCCGTTAAACCGTAACAATCGCAATCGCATTTATAATATTAGTAGGCATAGGGATAGTAGGGATTAGACAATGGAAGGCCGAACGAATGAAATGCAACACGAAACATTGTCAACCACTTTGAAACAAATACCTTGTTATTATTATTATAATCAACAATAGGCAATTATTATTTCCACGTCAAAAATTAAAACTCGAGCTTTTTACTTCACAGCAATTTCAATCATATTTTTGGATGAACTTTTGTCACAAATAATTTAGATTCATCTTCTGGAAGAGGTATGGAATGAGAAGCAAACATGAAATATACAAAATTCCCTTAGAAATTACAAAAATTACTATATTTCGAACACAATACTATCAACATATTACACTAATGAATCTCACTATTGACTACGACTTGAATTTTCAGCATTGAAATTTTTTGACGAAGCAATCAAAAATACTCCCAACGACAAAAGAGCGCTGATTGGAAGATCTAGAGCCAGGGCGAAGGCATGCCAATATGAAGGAGCAATAGTGGATATCAATAAAGCCCTCAACCTGGATCCAGAAGATTTAGGGGTGATCGCAGATAAAGCATTGAATACTTATCTGAGCTGTGAGTTTGAGGATGGTTTAGTTCAGAACACTAGAATGCTCCCCATCAGAAAGAAACCAGACAGCTTTTCAATGGGTGTGATGCATGTAAGATTCCTACTCGATATTCTCATTTTCTGAAGGTTCGTGCACTTTGAAAACAATCTAGAATTTCTTCGAAAAAAGTACTATTGAGAGATATTAATTCGTTGAAAAACAGCTGTATGGCTTGATGTATTTCATCAAGTTGATGGAAAGTAATCAAACTCCTCTTCTCTTTTGCTTCCAATTCAATTATTTTTCATAATGATAATGTTCACAACAAATTTTAAATTAAATACGCTACACGATAGCTCCATCAGCTACGCACCTTTGATAAAATTTATTGTGGAAAGTCTGTAATTATCATCATTAATAATTTTATTAATTTTCATCAAGTAATGGGTCAGAGTATCCAGAATTCGAATATGCTCATAAGCCGATTGACCATGACATTTTTTTTCGTGGAATTCAATGTTTATATAGAAGCAGTTGTTTCGAGATGGCTGTTTCTTCCAGTTTCTGTCTGAAAGTTACATGATCTACACATCTTTGTGAAGAGTTCATTTTGGAGTCAATTGCCTTCTTTCTTCCTTTGAAAGATTCCTACATTTTTTTTGTATAATGATGAAGGAGTAGAAAGCCAGAATATTTTTTCTGTTAAGTTTTGTTATGTTTTTATTTTTCTAATTTCTTGAATTCCCTAATATCAACAGATTTATTTTTTGGGATATATGAAGAGTAGTTTGAGATAAATTAGTGAATATTTTCGAATATATGCGGAATTTGATTATTTTAGTGGTAGGTGGTCTATAATATATTTGATTCCTTCACTTCCATGTAAACTTTTCTTAAAGCTTGTAAAAAAATATATTGATCTTACCAAATTCACAATAGTCTACTTTTCTTCATTCGTAGTGTTCCAATGCAATAGAAAATTGCATCGGGGAAAGAGCAGGAAGACCATTGCGAGATCATTTCAAAATTATCAGAAGGCTAGCATGGAAACAGAATTATGAAGCTCAGAAACCATTCGAACCTAAGCCAAAACTGAAAAAGGTTGTCAAACAAGTAAAGACGAGAAAAAAAAGGCGATCAGATACAATGGAGCCTGTTTTGCCTAAAATACGAGCTTCTAAGACTGACCTGTATAAAGAGTGTCGTTTGTCGAACATAGATTGTAGAAGTGAGTGAAAATATAATTTTGGCAATAACTTTTTCTTGAAAAAAAATTTGAAAAATGCATTTCAATCTGAAACAACTTTCATGAAACCTGAATTGCGGATGAAATTTCATAAATAATTATTGACATGCAAGAACATCAATTTAATGAAAAAAAGTAAATTTTTGTGAAGAAATCAGATTATTTCATTGACATTTCTTGGGTTTTTTGCCTTCCACAATCTGAAAAATATAAAGATTTAGAAGGAAAATGTTTACCCCATAAGTTATTGCGTGAATTCAAAGAACAATAAAAAATGTTTCAATTATCATAATATTGTCGTATTGAAACTTTTAGCTGTCAATAAAAGCGCTGAAAGATCAAACTGATACTCTTATCAATGTTTCGAAGGATAAAATCTGCATTCGTCCCCAGGATTGTAAAAGATCCAATAAATCTTATAGTTTTTTCTGTGGTTCGTTTTGTTTTCCAAATGTCCCCGACAGATGTCAAAGGAGTTTTGAATGTGATGTGTCAATGTTGTTGACTGAAACATTCGATGTAGTACAAGTAAGATTTTAGCCTCCGAAACTTCAAAAAGAGTTTATTCATAATTTCTTAGGTTTTTTTTTGATGAGGAACATTTTTTTTGATACGGACTTTTTTCCAATTATAGATATTGATAAAGCAATCAATTCACAATTCAACGGAATATATCACATTTGATATTTCTATAGCGTTCCATTTGAAATAGCTATCATCATCAGTGACAACAATTTTAAATTACGGTCCTGTCGTTACTTCTTTTGCACATTGTTTCGATTTCTTCAAAATATAGTTCAGACAACCCAATGAATTCGACAGGTAGATACCCTAACACAATAAAAATTCGTACTTTTTCGTTTCGGAAAATCCTTCGTAATCCTTCTTTTAAGGCTTATTTCTCCCTAATTAATTATAATTCGTAATATTTTCATAAATATCAATCCTGAAGTAACGAAAATATCAGTTTTTGGTCAAAATTCGATTGTTGTATAATCAAATAGCATCTCAATTCATTTACCATCTTAAACGCGTAGGCTTTGCTTGGTTTCTATGGCAGGAAAAATGAATGCGTTGTTAATATCTGTTGAGAACTAAATGAATTCGATGGCTACTTAGATGAATTGCCACTGAATATCCGCCATAAAATACAATATTTTCAATAGGACGACGCTCCTCCCCAAAATGCAGCAATAGTAAGGGAACATTAAGATGCAATATTCCCAAGAAAATGAATTGGAAACAATGGACCAATTAACTGACCAGCTCAATCCCCAGGTCTCTCTTCTCCGGTTTTTTTGTCTGGGGATACATAGACGATACAGTTTTTTCAACACCAAGTACAGATATCGACCATCTCAAACAAAAAATAAGAGATGCATGTATTAGTATCACACCTATTATGCTAGAAAGTTGTCACAGAACTCATCTGGACCGACAACTTAAATGCATTCAACAAAGTGGTCGTAAATTCCATATAATGTACATATAGCTTTGATTTTCCGTATTGGTTTAATTTTTCCCAAAATTTCATGATAAAATAAACTCTTTTTCTGTTTGATTGTTGTCACTGACGATGATGGATATTTTTCAATTACTATTTTATATTATACCTAGGATACATAATCATTTCTAATTTCATTTGAGGGTTTCAATGCTCCCCACTTTGTTATTATGAAGTAGGCATTGTTCAATGGAAAAAAATGCACTTCTTCACCGACACAAGAAATTATTCGTTAAAATAAAAGAAGTACCACTTTCTGTTCAGATTTTTGACATAAACGAATAAAAAAGGCATTTGAAAAAAATATTGAAAAATATCTGAAATATTTCATTTTGTATATTCATATTCAAAAGCTGATCAAACATCGTCATATGTTTCTGACTAGTAGTTATTTGACAATTTTTCCATTGATGCCGTCATAGCGCCTCCATATTGAATTTGTCACCATTTTGAAAGGAAATCGCACCGTATCTTCGAAAAAAAATTCAAATTCTATCGAATGTTCTGGAAATATATAGTTATTATTTGAATTTATCGACTTGGACTCATTTTCGGTCAAACCTAAACAGGTTTTCAATTATTTTCCACTGAAAATATCGGCTTCATTGAACTATACCTTTTAATTTCGAATTTCAAGAAACACGTGAATGACGAATTGTACATTTATTTCGTTGTCATCCAGTAAACATTTGAAATCGTTATCTTCCAAGTAAATTTATTTATATTTCATTTTAGGCATAACAGAGAGCTTACACAGTCACAAATCTGAGAAACTTATTGTTCCTCCATTCAATAAACCATTTCCATTTTCCCCTCTGCAGAAATATACAACTAACATAGAGAATTATATGGCTGAGAAGTACTTGGACTCAATGTACTTGGACAAAATATTTCTACAAAAGTTACAAAATGAGCCGGGAGCTGTTTGTCCCAACAAAAAAGGATCGATGAAAATAAAGCAGCTGGCGAAAACGGGATTCAAGACAGTGGCATATAAGCAAGTAAGTCAAAACTTTCAAACTTTCGTGTTGATCCTATTTGATAATGATGATTTTATTCTCATTTCGGATAAAACACAGGCCATCTGTGAAATTGATAAACATCACATACATTCGATGGGAGGTGTCAATTCGAAAAGGATTCTAGGACTAAATCCCATACTTTTTATTGTAGTGCTTCATTTCAGTCATTTACGATTCATTCAAGAACATTCACGCGGGGAGCTCTGTACGTTCGCGAGCAGAGAATATACGGGGTGAGATCATCAAGTCGTATCATAGGCTGGGTCGTATGGAATCGGATACAGGGTTATAAGATGGCAGCATACCAAGAGGGCACTAAGCCATATCATCGCTAATATAAATTGGATCGTCACGTGCTGCACATCAAATGGAAGAGATTGATATATTGATTATAATGACAAAGAAAGAGAAAAAATGGCGGCATGTCGGAAAGGCATTATTGGTATTTTAACAGCTGACGTGTGTGAGAGTGACAGACGAAGGGCATTGTACGTATTTTGAATGAGAGAGGACTGACGTCAGAGTGTGGTACGTGCAGCACGTTGATTGAGAAGAAAAGGAATGCATAATGTATCTACAAAGAAAAAAACAAAGATGGCGCAACATGTCAAAAGGGCGCTAATTTGCATCTTTGTTGAAAATGGTCAGATCGTCACGTGCAGCACATCAGATGAAAGGAGAGGGAATGCAGAATTTATTAACAGAGAAAAAAAAAACAAAGATGACGTGACATGTTATAAGGGCACTAAGTTTTATTTTCGTTAATAATAGTTAGATTGACGGGTGCAGTACATCGAATGAAAGGAGAAGGAATGCAGAATTTATTGATAAGTAAAAACAGAAATAACGGCATGCTAACAGGGCACTGAGCTGTATCTTTGGTAATAATAGTTAGATCGCTACGTAAGGGGTGACGGATGCTGGTGTGGTCCTCGCTGGGTCTTTGATTTCCGAATTAGTCTTCGAATTGGGTCCTCGATTTGGTCATTAAATCAGTCTTCGAATAAATCCTCGCATTGATCCTCGAGTTAGTCTAGATGACGCAGAGATAAATTGTGACGTGAGAAATGGAAGGGAATACTGAATTCATATACAAAAAAAATCAAACATGGCGGAAATTGTCAAAAGGGCAAAAGGGCAATGAGCCGTTTTCATTACTAAGAGACGGTTAGTGATGTGTAACATGTGAAACGGAAGATAACGGCATGTCAAAAGGGCAGTAGATCACATCTTCGCAGACAGAATATGATGTGCAGGTGATATCACCAGAAAATGAACTAGAGGTCAGAAAGTCTCCAGATAAACAAAACAACGATCATCATTTTCGAATATCAGAACTATAACAAGTTGGAGTCATCAGGAGATGAACTAGAGGATATTATTTTCGTCGTATAACTGTAGAATTTCTTTTCCAACTACAATTATTATGAATATTGTTTGCTGTTGGGATAAAACTTCAGTAATATTCATGTATAATGTTCTTCATGTAACTATGCCGACTGAAGTGAACGATAGTTATAGAATACAGTCAAAAATTGTTTGGAATAAAAACGATGCATTCCATTCTCAACATTGATAAATATATTCAGTATTCCTTTTATTATCAGTTTTGGAAAAACCACAGACAAAAAATTCAATTATTATGCTATAAGTAAGAATCCGTTAGTATTAAAACTATTGTTTATTTCCGATAATTGTAGAATATTATCGAAACCAGAATAATCAACTCAATGAAGGTTTCTATTTCCGGTAGTTCGATTTCGTCAAGAACAGTATCATCAAAATCTCAAAATTGTGAATGTTTGTAAAAATTTCATGGCAACCGAATTCTATGGTACGGATGATGAAGAGGATACAATGAAATAACATGACACCCTCATATTCGAGTAACATCGCGAAGGAGTTTGTCAGCTGTCATACAGTAAATTGGGTGGATGAATTCTGTATTTTTTTTCCTTTCATTTGGCGTGCTGCACGCAGCGATTCGACTTTCGTTAACCAAGATACGGCTTAATTTCCTTCTGACTGTCATGTTTGTTTTTTTTTTCTCTACCACTTGCTGACTTCAGCCCTTTTTCATTTACACGTACATTGTCGTTCGTCTCTCACATGTCAACAGTTTGAAATAACAACATTGCCTTTTCCAAATACCACCATATTTTGTTTTCTAAAAATGTTTTGCAGTAATCGTAAAGATATGATAAAAATGTAAAATAAAATTTTCACTTTTTCCCAACATTTCTACAACTCAACATATGCTTCTCATACAAACTTCAAAATTCTCCACATGAACACCAAATGCTGTTTTGACATGTCGCTATGACGTTTCTTCATTAATTTCAACAGCCATGCCTCTTTCATGTCCTGCTCATTATAATCTGTCTGCAATGATGTAACCGACTGCCCCTTTGGGTTCTCTTTATGAATTCAGCATCCCTACTCATTTCGTTTCACATACTACATACTAACCATCTCTAAGTAATGAAAATTACTCACCGCCCTTTTGACAACCCCACCGTGTTTAATATTTTTTGTCTCTAAATTCAGTATCCCTTTCACTACGTTTGAGGAGGTAGAGGAGTTTCAGGATTCATCTGTGTTACAGGCTGAGCCTGAGCCAGAGGCCGACTCTACAGAAGCTGGGTGCTGAGTCTGCTGCAGGGTCTGCAATTTTTTCAGACTTACCCTTGGAACGTAAACGTCCAGTATCGGTAATTAGTGAATTGAGTGCGAAAGAATTATCTCTTTATGATGTAATGAACAGGCATGAGTATGAACAGTAGAAAAGATGAGGCATTTGATGCTTGATTGCCTTATCAGCTATTGACTGGCTGTCTCATATACATATCGGTACTTACTTACACGTCCTGATATTGTATTTTCTGTTAATTTCTTGAAACGGTTTAATAACTGCCTCAATGATAAACACTAGTTCTATGCTAAGAGGGTTCTGAAATACTTGAAGATCAAATCATATTGCTTAAGGTTTTCTACTGATGGCAATGATAAGTTGACCGCAGATCTCATACTAGATATTTCTTAAGGCTGTCAAACTGTGATATATGTTAGGAAACAAAAAAATAGGCAAGTGTTTGGGAAATGAAGTTTTTGGCTTTCTACTTCTCCATCTTGATACAAAAAAATGTGGGAATCTTTTTTAAAATTGATTGCTCCCTTCCTTTCTTTGGAAGATTCCCACATTATTTTGTATGAAAATGGAGTAGTAGAAAGTCATCCACTTTCTTTACCAAAATTTAATCACTTATGCAAATATAACTGTTTCATTTTACTGCATGTATTGCATCAAGCACAGAAGCTGAATATAAGGGCATATTGGACTGCTGCAATGAAGCTGAATATTCAGAAAAGTTATTGTTGGAAATTACAAAAGAATCATATTCAATACTGATATTTTTAACTATAACCAATGTGCCCATAAGTTAGCAGCTACTTTTTTGTTCCACAAAAGATTCAAGTTTATACAGCAGTTCGATATCATTCTTGTAGAGAGAAATTTGCTAATGATATTGTGAAAATTTTATATTTATCTGCCACGGAAATGCCAGTAGATCTGCTGAGTGAAAGATAGCGTGAAAATAAACAGTATCAGTTTTTGAGAATGTTTTGTTTATTCAATAATCTATGATAGTTAAGTCAAATGTTACTTATTTTATTAATTGGAAATGTTGTAATGTGATATTGAATTATAACAAAATAAACATGTAGCCACCATCTATTGTCGCCACAGTGCAAACTATATTCGGCCCACTATGTATAGTCGATTAATAAAGTTAGCAGTCTCTACCAATCATGCTGCTGTTTCATTTTAAAAACCCTATATCATGAATGGAATATTTTCTCAACAGGAACTTCTTCGAACTAGAAGACCATTTTATTACATCAACTACCAACAAGCGCGTTCTTCTGGCACATTGAAAAGTCGCCAGGAACAAGAATTGGTGTTACAGCAACAAACTATTAGGAAGGAAGCAGACGTAGTTTTTGCCCGACTGAGAGTTGCTTTTGAAAAACGAAATTTACTGAAAATGTTGGATTTGGCAGAAAAACTGAGACACTATTGTGAGATCCAGCCCCATAGACTATTTCCGGATAAGGAAGAATATATGGAGCAAGTATATAAAATGATCAGGTAAGTAATGAATTTTCAGTTGTCATGACATTCTATACAATAAAGAACCATCAGGAAATTTATGGAGAATTCAACATTGCGTTCATGAATATTGGACCTAATGTATTAGCATGATCATCAAGTAT